TTTTTTTTTTTTTTTTTGGTACCAGGGATTGAACTCAGGTCCTTGCACTTGCAAGGCAGCCAATACATATTTTATCTATCATTTTTCTTCTCATCCCTAGAATATCCTCTCCTTCAGAACAAATTTGTTTTATTTCTGTGTCCTCAAAGACAAGAAAGAATGTCTAGCCTGTAGTCAGTATTCAGTAAATATTTACTCATTGAATGAATGATTTTTTTTGTGAAGCTGTGTAAGTTAGTTTATTGCTTTATACCAAAGCTTACATATGGCCCTGTTAAAGAAGGAAATCCAATATGACATGATTAAGTATTTTATGAATACTTGCCTTGTACAGGACTATGTGCTTTTCCTAAAGAAATAATTGGAGAAATAACTTTCTGTAACAAAATTACAAATGGTACAAATCATATCATATGTAATTGGGCCCCATGTAGGGCTATAGACATTACTGTGATTTCCTACAAGTGAAAAATAACTGTGGAATAGAATAATCCATAGAGGTGACTTCATAGATGGGAACCAAGGTAAAACTTCAATGTTTGCCACCTGCCTCACCAGCTCAAGGACCCAAGTTTGCTCCCCAGTATCAAAAAAACCCAAAAACCAAGAAACAAAAAAACTTGAAGGTTTGTAGAAGTAGGATATATGGAGCAAAGAAGAGATTTGGAGTTCAGGGAATGAATTTAAAGAATGAGAAAGGCCTACTCTTAAGTGAAATAAATCACACTTGTGTAAATGCTGAATAGTTTCTCTGGTGTGAGAAACTGAAAGTGTAAATAAGAATCAAAATGTACAATAGATAATGTGAAACAGAAAGAAAAGGTCCAAAGAAGGGAAAGAAAAAAATATGAGAAAAGGAAAAAATGGAAACAGTCTTTGTAAATAGGGAAGGGTGGAGGGTTTGAAGGGAGAGCGGGGAACAAGGAAAAAATAAGAACCAAGATATATCATGTAAAGGTACAAATTCTTTTTTTTTTTTTTTTTTTTTTTTGTTCCGGGGATTGAACTTGGGTCCTTGTGCTTGCAAGGAAGGCAGTGGAACCACTGAACTAAATCCCCAGCCCTAAAGGTACAAATTCCTAATGATGAATGACATCATATTGTATACCTAAAATGTACCAATAAACTTAATTAAAAAAAAAGAATGAGAAGGGCCTGCATGGGCAGAAGAGTTTATAACTGAGATTAATAAAGAAGGGGATGGTGTGGGGATTTAGCTCAGTGGTGCCACTGCCTGCCTCACAAGCAAGCCCAAGGGTCTGAGTTTGATTCCCAGTACGAGAGAGAGAGAGAGAGAGAGAGAGAGAGAGAAGGGGGGGAGATAATTGAGATTAATAAGGGGATAAAGGAGCAAGGGAAGTTTAGAGTTAGATTATTAAGGGTCATAAATATTTCACCAAGCAGTAAAAGTCCATCACTGCCATTGGACCAAGGGTGTCCTGTACTAGAAATGTCAAGAAATATTGGCAAGCTTTTGGGTCTTGAATTTTGCCTTGAAATCACTAGATCTTTTAGTTGGTGGAGCATTTTAGAATAAGGAAGAGATTATACATTTATAGACTTCATTATGCATTATACTTTCTCTTTGAGGTTGTATATAAATATGTGATTTCTTGAGTCTTTTTTTTTCAGCTTTAATTGAGTTTATTGGTACATTTTAGGGATACAGTACAGTTACATTCATTGTTGGGATCTTGTACCTCTACATGACAAGTCTTGATTCTCATTTTTTCCCCTTACCTCTTCCTTGAAGAGTCTTGTATTAATGCAACTTCTGTTGGGAATAAGACCAGGCAAATGCAAATCAGTATGATGCTATACATCCACATAATTTCTTTTGGGTTCTCTTTCTGTGTCAGAGGAACACAGATCTTTCTCTTTCCATTTTTAAATTTAGTTTTTCTGTCATTGAACTAAAGTGAAAGTAGGCATGACATCTGTTGTTTTGTTCACTTTATGTGTTCAGGTGGAAACTTATATCGTCTTTTCCCCCTTACCCATCTTATCTGGTTAGATAGTCACCTTACTGAGATTGATGTTTCTAAAATTCTCTGTAGGGAAGGACCAATTTTTTGTTTTGTGGCCTACTTCCAATCTTATGCTTTATAAAATAAAACTGAATTTTTAGTTTTTTATTTTAATGTAATATAAGTAGACATTTAAAAAGAAAACATAAAACACTCTTCTATTAAACAAAACCCCAAAATTTCATAACAAATTTTGAAACAAACAAAAGGATAAAACTTTCTTTTCAATGAACAAAAGAAACTAGTAATCTAAATGAAACAAATTGGCATTTATCTTAAAATATTTTTGAAACAACAGAATAGATAATTTGGGGAGTTAAACCTTTTTTTTTTTTTTTTTTTTTTGGTACCTGGGTTTGAACTTGGGACGTTGCACTTGCAAAGCAGGTGGTAGAACCACTGAGCTAAATCCTCAGCCCACTTAAACCCATTTTAAGCAGCATGAGATGTTGGAAGCAGTGTACAAAGTCATTAACAGATGAATGAATAAAGCAAATGTGGTATTTATACTCAACTGAGTACTACTCTACCATTAAAAAAAAGATAAAATGGAGACATTTATAGGCAAATGGATGCAACTTGAAAACATAATGTTAGTGAAATAAGTCAGACATACAAGCTTGAATATCACATGGTTTCTCTTATATGAGAAACTTAACATATATAAAACAACA